TCTATAAACTACAGAAGTACAGAGTAACTATAAACTCAGGCGATTAACAAGTTGATTCTTTCAACTAAATCAATAGTTTACAGATCAATTCTAAAAAAAATGCAGGGGTGCATTGCTCCCTCCATAATCAAGCACATGCATCAAGCAAGGTACTTTAATAGCTAAGAGGAAAAGTCAGTGAGCATTAAGCAAGCTGATATGATTACTAACATCAAACAAATACTTTCATTTTGAGCTTCCTCTATTCAAATTCAAGAAATTAAGTACTTTAAACTTCAAACAGAAAAATAAAATATATAATTCCTATTAAACAAAAATACACATTAAAGGAAAAGGAAAAGAAAGAAGCATCTTAGACATGAAAAAAGTTATTAAAATATTTCAACGAAGCTGTAATGGGCATACAAATAAAATATACCTTTGATATTTAGACAAATCTTTTTAGAATCCAGCACCTCACAAGCACCCAGTATGACATGTACACTGTGGCTAACAAACAAAAAAACGTGGTGATGGAATAACCAGATGAGTCTGGTTCACACACTATAGAACAACATCAACAAAGGCAATCTCCAGGTACCTCTGAACCTGAACCTCCTATGTTTTGTTTTTCAAAAAGAAGAACAAGAGCAAAAGCAAGGTTCAGTCATTATTGAAGATCACATAATACATTTGTTGAACCATGTACAGTAAGGAATATGGCAGCTGATGAGCTGAAATGTGTATGCTGGCAGAGCAGAATTATGGGGCCACATCATAACGAAAACCACAACGAAAACCAGCTAATCAGTGAGACTCCAAAGCAAGTCAGTGTTCTTGATGAAAGATGCACCCAGATCAGTTAAAGTAGATATACATATATTCAATGCAAACTTCAAACCGCAGCACACACTTCCACACCTTGCATTCATCTACCATTTTCCCAGTGAAATTGGCCACGACGTGCTTAGAGAGAAAGAGCGACGTATTCGACCGAATATGTTTGCACCACAAACCTATTTGAATGTGACAAAATAGTCAAGAGTTCACCATCATATTATATATCAATACTAGAAACTGAAAAAAAGAAATTGTAATTTCAACAATTGATATGAATTAAAGGAGCAAAAGCATCAAACAATCAATATGAATAAAAGAATTCATTCAATCATTTCAACAAACATGTAATGGGCATACAATTGAAATACAATACTTCAAGGATTAAATATCTCATACATAATTTTCTAAAACTGGAGGCTTGAGAAAAATCACAACCCTATCTGGACATAAAAATAAGGAGTAAATCATTACTCTAATATTCATAACTTTGCCGATGAAGATTATTACTACTTAAGATAAAGTCAATCAACAACGTTCCATACCGGAAGAGAAGGGAGCTAAAGATCCGCATGACATCAGGTCGAACACCCATTTCTATTCCCTGTGAGCTCCCACTGTTCACGACAGTCCTTGATTGTCACTGCGAACGGCTCTTCAGTGAAGGAGTAGAAGCGCTGGTTGATGTTGATATTTGAAGCTGGGTTGAAAGGATTTTGAAGATGAGTTGAAATTGAAGAAAAAGTAAGAATGAACGGAAGAGAGGTCGGGGTGTACGTAGCGCAGAGAAAAGAGAGGGAGAGAGAGGAAGGAAAAGGTAATGGGTGGGAGAAAGGTAAAAATGAAAGAAGAATGGTAAAAATTAAAAAATGTATTTATATGATGTACAGTTTGTGTACAAGTAATGTATACTAAGCATTTTTGTAAATTCTATAGTTGCACATATTGAGACCACCAATATGAGATCTTATGGGGCCGGAGTCTATCTTATGGGGCCGGAGTCTATCTTATGGAGCCGGGCCGGTTCGGGCCCGGTCGGGCCTTTTGTGTTTGGGGGAAGACCCGGGACCGGACCGGGTTTCCGCCGGGTCCGGGTCGGGCCTCGGGCCAATTTGTATTTTTTTCTCCTTTTCCCAAAATACCCAACCCGGGTTTTCAAAAAAAATGAAAAAAATGGCCCTAAACGGGCCCGGGCCGGTCGGGCCGGTTCCTTATTTACCTGACCCGAGCCCGCACCGGAAAACCCCCCGGGCCGGGCCTACCCGGACCCAGTGGCGGAACCAGGGGGTGCTAACTGGTGCCGGCGCCACCCCTTCGCCGGAGTACTTGAGGTATATACATATCCTATTTATGTCAGCGCTCCAGGAGCTTTCATGGATTTTCCGTTTGCCGGCAGATCTGGTTTGCTTCTGTTAAGGGAAAAGTGGAAAACATGACCTATCGTCGTTTTTCTTTAAAGTTCATTTAGACAAACGACGACGTTAGAGTAAATTGAAATGACATCAAAGTTACAATAAACGACATCTAATCTAAAACAATAAAACGACATGGAGTTGGAGTACCGAGTACATACAGAGTACGGAGTAATGATAATTGAATGAATTCAAAACTCAATAACCGAGTTAGTTCGTGAGTCCGGGTTGAGTGCTCTTTAGGATAATCGATGGTCGTGAAGATAAGTTTTACTTTTATTCTATTTTATATAATTAAATAATAGTGTACTCCAATACGACTGGTATGTATGTGCAAATTGAAATCAATTTATTTATGCCTATGGAGTAGCATAGCTTTGCATTTATGCTTTATATACGAGTATGATTTACTAACTTTGTCCGGTTGTCCCTGAATAAAAGTATGTTTTTCCTTTTTGGAGCATCTCCAAATAAAACTTTTTTTTGTAAATAAAACGGTGATAAACAATGTCCAAACAAGGCTAAACATTTCCGTTTTCTTAAACTGTGTGTAAATTGAATGAGGTTTTTATATAAGGACGGAGAGAGTATGAATTTGTATAAATGCAATTCTGCTATATAAATCATACAGAGTATAATGTTGTTATGCATCTATTTATTAGTGATTAAACATAAATTAAGGCTATATATAAAGCAACCCATTCACACTGCAGCAATTCTCCAATGAGTTTTACTAGTACAAATTTGCAGGGGATATTAATTATGTGCATTATTTTTCGTACTAATTATACGGAGTATTTGTTTTCAGATAGATGGAAGCATTGAACTTTATAATACTTTCAATTTAAACTATCAGACCTATTTATTATCTATTTATTACGGAGTATCTAATTTATTATCAATTTATTAGTTTTGAACTATAATATGTACGAGTATTTTATTTTCAGCACCCCTTCGAAAAAAGTTCTGGTTCCGCCACTGTCCGGACCGGTCCCTGGCCGGGCCTACCGGGACCGGTCCCTGGCCGGGCCGGTTTCGGGTCGGGCCACCCTGTCCGAGTCCACCACTACATACAGAGTATCATGACACATTGTCAAACATTCGTGCAAGATTGCAAGAGATGATCTTTAGCCATTCTTCTTGTCTTCAATGGCTTTAAACTCTAGTTTTTTCTATTCCGTATATTATACATACCGAGTAGTAGTATATACGGAGTATTATTTTATACGGAGTACTATTTATTGATTTATTCTATTATTTTTCTTTTATACATTTATATTTAAAGTGCTTGAAAATGTTTAAATTAAGTCTTCTCTTTTACTACATTATTATATACGTAGTATTTTGCTAGACTTTGCATATATTGGAACAATGGGGGCAAAGTCGATACTTCATCTAGTGACAAACTAACAATCAAGAAAGCCTTCCAGAGTTCCAAGCCAAAAACATTATTTTCTAGTCCCACTTAGGGCCGAACTGGTTTGGCCCGACCCGGGACCCGGGACCCGGCCAGGCCCGTTACTGTTCAGTATCGTCCCGACCCGGTTGGCCGGGACCGGGACTGAAGCCCGAACCGGAGCATTATTCTGTCAGGCTACGGGCTTCCAAAATGATGGACCGGTCCAAGCCCAAATACTTTTTTTTTAATTGTTTTGGGCTGCTAGGTCGGTGAGGGAGTGGGGCGGGGTGGTTTGGGGGTTGAATCTAATTCAAAAAAGCCTTTAAAAAAACTCGTGTCCGGCCCGGTGCCGGGCTTGAGTAATTTTTACCCGGAGCGCGGCCCTACCCGGACCCAGTCCACCCCTACTACTCTCACTTCAAAAATTGGTTAGTCTCGATCTAATTCTAGGTTTGGGGCCTTGTCCACCCCTACATTAAAGGGATGAGGTAATCAGGATGGTCTTGCCGTCTTGGTGGCACTAGTACTGGAGTACTTGAGTAATTTAATCACAACGTATAACAACTTCAAGTCTTCAACCATTCCACCAAATTCACTTTTAAACAAATTTAAACCATTAGGCAGTATTAAAATCTCCAACAGTAGTTCAAATTTATTCCCTAAAAGATTTCATGTAACTATAAACGTCGTTGTCTGCCATACACCTGACTACCTCGCTTTGGTCACAGATGGAATATAGTTCCCAATTCGTAAATTAAAAATAATATTAGTAAGTTGCAGCACGGCACAGTGGCACACATTGACACCCCGCAAGGTGAGTGTGCCAAGGATGTACAGAGAGCTAGGTAGTTTACTCGCTACTCGGTAGCTACTCGGTCAAGGGCCGAGTAGCGAGTATGACCGATTACTCGGGATTACTCGGTGATTACTCGGCCTAGTATTAATTAAATATAAAAAATATATTTAAATATAGTAGTCTTAAAATATAGTAATAAAATTGTCTTTAAATTGTCTTAAAATGTTTAGAAGTGAATAAAAGGATAGAAATTATCTTAAAATGCATATAATACGTATACAATACCAGAATACAACTTCAAGAAGCACGAGCATTGGAAGAAAAGGCAAATATTTTCTGCAGTTTTTTGGCACCTATTCTTATTCCAATTGAAGAACTTCAAAGTAACTTCAAAGTGGCACCTACCGAACAACTAGTCCTCAAAGGTAGTTCCCTAAATGAAAATTGCAGCTCACCCAAAACCAAACATGATGCTTTTTTGCTAAGCTATATTTTTCACCTTTTCAATTAAGAGATTTTATTTAAGCATTCAGCAACTCAGTTCTCAGGGGTACATTCAATACATTCACTTTAGTTGGCCAAAGACTTGAAAATGTACAATGAAAACACCGGTTTAAGAAGCACAAGCAAACGAAGAACAATCCAAAATTCTCAGAGTTTATTACAGTATACAGAGAAGAATATAATAGGCGACATGAGGGAGAATAAGAAACAACACAGAGGATAATCTCAATTTAATTTTTTTCCAAGCGGAGGTAATGTTTTTTTTTACATACCGAGTACTCCCGAGTAAATCGCCTTTTTGACCCACTGACCGAGTTGCTAACTCGCCGAGTACTCGGCGAGTAACTCGGAATAATAACTCGGGCCGAGTAATGTGCTACTCTGCAAGGTCATAGGCCGAGTAGGGAGTACTCACTGAGTACTCGCTGAGTACTCGCCGAGTAAATAATCCAGACAGAGAGCAAGCCTTATTTTTCTCTTTTACAAGAGACCGCTCATAGATTTGAACTTATGACCTCTCGGTCACACAACAGCGCCAACCAGTGCATCACGGCTCATCTTGTTCATAAATTCTACTTGAAAAACAATTGCCATTATATAACACTACAAATATCCTCAGACTATGCTTGCCTTCATGCTGCTACACTACATGCATCAATTGATGTAAGAAGGCTTAGAAAGAGGTAAATGTGCAATGGGAGAATGATTTTTACATTTTTTATCCTAAAGTAAAGCACAGTTACTCATTCTTCATCAGCATCACTGCCATCAATCTCAGCATCTTGATTCACTGCATCGTTGTTTCCCTCCGGGCGTAATATCATATACCTAATTTGTTCCAGTGCAAAGATTTAGAAAAAAAAAAGAAGTTTTCATACTCTTTTGAAAATCAGGTTCCGTTTGGTTGGTAGTCTCACCTGGCTCATTCTGCTAAGAACAAGCAGAATAACCAGAGCTTTTGACTCACTTATTTAGCTGAAATACCAAATACCATAGGGACTTGGCGTGAGAAGAACTCCAAAAGGGAAGCATCGTTTTAATACCTCTCCAGAATGAATCTTCCTTCCTTGTACTTCTGAGGCTTTTCATGTGCAAGCTCCTGAAATCAACAGAATATAAAGCATTATTAGGTAAATACATAACAGAAAATGGTGTTTGGCAAATGTAAATGTGAGAAGAAGATCAAGCTTACGTATTTCCAACCAAGAAGAGAGCCACAACCCACACAGAATATGTCAACAACAGTGTGCACTCCGGTCAGCATCATTCTCTCTTCTTTCTCACCATATGTAACATTGACACTATGCAGCATAATAGGATACTCAGCATTACTCAAAACTTCGTACCATTTACACGTAAACAAACAAAATCACATAAAATGTAAGCACTGAAGAAGCAAAAGAAAATTCTTACACTTTATCAAACAGATAGGCCTTCCCATGACTGCAGTGGAATGACTGGAAAGAAAACATAACATTTGGGTGAGCATATAGCAGAGGATAAGAGGAAATGCGACAACTATATGCAGAGATAAAAAAGATGGATAAATCTCCCTCATTCTAAAAAATGAAAGCCGGGTTTCAAAGACTTTTTTTGCATAAAAAAAGGTCCAATTTGATCAAATTAAGCTAATCTATCATGTAAATTTCCAAAAATGGCAAGAGATATAAAGAAGTTACATATGATAAATTTGGTTAAACCATCAAATGAATTTTGAAAATGAAAGTGTGATTCATGAGATATGAAAAAAATTGCAGTTGTACTTGTCCGAGTTAAAAAGTTGTGCGTAGACAAATGAGCCACTTTTGGGGGGTGAAGACAGTAGTTAACAAGTATGGTTAAAGTATATGAATCAAATGGAAGAATGACTATTTATTTGATATGTTAACACTAGAAACCAAAACTTTTGGGATTAAGGCTTGAATGTTGTTGTTGTTGTTGTTAACACTAGAAACCAAATATAAAAAAACAGAACCATACAGCACATTGTGACTCCAAAGAAAAACAGGCATCAAGGCATGCTAGATTACACTAGGATTCATTGTCAGTTTAAGTTCTTAATAGGTTATTAGGCTGTCCTGATCAGTGGCTAATGGAAGAAAGATCCACTTGACAAACTGAAGTGTGGTCTGTTGGACAACAACAAATATAAGAACTAATAAGCCTGGAAGATTACCTTCAAAACTATGCCAATCAAATTCCTTTACCTGTTTAGTCCCTGCACCCCGTGCATTCAAAAACCTCCTTGATTTTGGAAATCAACATTAGCTTAAGCCAGTTATTTCTAAGTGTATGTTTGGCGGGACATTTCATCTGTACTACAGATGCAATGTTGCAACTTCATCTATCATTTAACAAAAAATCTTCGTTTACTCGGTAGATGAAAATTCAAAAAGAAAAATGAGAGATACTTGAAGTACATTTTCATTTAATCAATTACACTTAATATTTTGCATCCCATGTTCTCAAAGTTTTATCGAATTGCAATAATTTACTTCTTCATCATTAGTATATATGTTACCATTTTATGGCAATCTATGTTTTCATCAATCATTTTATTTAATAGGTCAGACATGTCTGTTCATTTCATCTTACACTTCATCTAGATCTGCCCTCATTTCATCTTCCCCATTTCTCCTCATTCATATACCATATCCTCTTTCATCTAGAGTTTTATATTGTTGTGTCAAACATTAACTCAAAGATAGATATACAGAAACACGAAAATTGTGCTTGTGCTACCTGCTTAACGCATTTCGCTTTCACAACCGATGTCTATCGAAACAATAACCACACGAATTTCAAAAGCCATTATAAACAAATTAGAAGATCACAAATATATATATATATATATATATATATATATATATATGAATGCTCTAGAAGAAATGTAGTAGAAATATCCCCACAAGGATGCTCATGCGCACACACATTGCTTACAAAGAGTTAATAGAGAGACCTTAGACAAAATGTCATCCTCAAGGGCCAGATGCGTCTTACAGTACTTGCAACCATAGAAGTTGCCTTCCAAGTAGGTGAGGAAAAGCCTACCCATCGTTTCTTCCCCTTCTTGTTCTAACAATCAACAAACAAGCAAAGTAATCCTTATTAGACCAGGTAAGCACAAATGAAGATAAAAATTGAAAACCATACAAATTCAGATTCAGATAGCCGAATGAAAAAAACGAGGTATAGCATTGACAGCATCGATCGTAAAACAAGCATCGCTTGAATTAGAGAACGAAAAGTGAGAAAACGAAAGGAAGATGATCATCACCTCACCTTACTAACAGTTGAGAGAAGGGACAAAAAGGAGTAATCGTCAAATCAGACATTTGTGAAGGTATCGCCAATTTATAATCTCGATTTGAAGACTGGAACTATGATACGGTCATACGGACATTCGAATCTGAAAAAATAAAATGTTGTGCATAGGATTTGGAGCAAGTTGAATAAAAACGGGAGAAATCAAGTTTGATTTTTATGTATGAACAATGCTTTTTTTTTTGCAAAAAGATTAATTTATTCAGCATTTTTTACAATTTATTTACATAAATGTATCATTGATGTTTACCAATAATGGTACTTATGTTTAAATTCAAAATTATTTCCTTTGTTTTTCAATGTTTTTAATGAAGTTAGCTTGTTAAGATCGACAGTTTCTCTCTCTAGAGAGCTCTGGAGCAGTGCCGCCTCCTAGGGTTTTCCTAGGGGCGTTTGTCCGGCCACGGTCGTTCGATCGTGGTGTGAGTTTGGATTTTGCGTCTATTAGTTGTTGATCTCGGCATAGCAGATCGTTTTTCTTGTTTCTTTTTTGGGATTGGAGTCATCGACCTAATCGTTTTGGGATCTTTCTTGGTTGATTCGAGCAAGACATTCGGTGGTTGTTTTAATTGTGCCTGAGGTGTTCGGTCTCGACAATGAACAGGTTCGAAGTTTCCGGCAAAAGGTTAGTGCAACAATTTTGCAAGGATAGCTCCGTGGACAAATACAAGAAGATGGTGAATGGGGCAGAGGAAGAAGAACTGGATCTAGATGAAGCTGATGGTGAGGTGGTGGCGGATGAGCGGCGGGCGCGTCCCCCTCCTGAGCCGCTGCCATGGAGTGCAGGCAAATCTAGGGTTTGGAAGACTTATCTTATTTCTTTTGTTAGTTTTTCTAGTGATTTTTATGTCTGTCTTGTTATCTTCTTTTTCTTTATTGTTCCTATTTGTAAGACGTTGATTTTGGATATGGGGAATGAGAGGAATATGGTGACCGTTTTTTGTTTTTGGTTTCCCATTTATGGATCAGCGAATTATATTGCTACGGCGATTAATTCCGAGTTTGATTCGCGGGATAACGGTTGTCAGATTTCTTTTTGTCATTTGACTCATACTCTGAATTTTATTGGTTATTAATATAAACCGAATTTTTCCAAAAAAAATGTTTTTTATGAAAATCATGATGTATAACATCTGAGAGAAATGATTATTCATTTTATGGTCAAATTTGAAAGTCCTCGCAAAAAAATGAAAGATCAAACGTCATTCTTCAGTCAATATTACAGAAGACGATAAAATGCAAGGGTCGTTCACAACCATTTTGTGTAACACTATTATTAAAAACACACACATATGAACTTTTTTAATAATATTTTATTCATTCACAATTATTTAAGAATAAGATTAAGACTTTTGGGCCTTATGTAATTTAAACTCTTTAATATATACTCCCTCCGTCCCATTTTGGTTTTCCTACTTTTCTTTTTGAGTTGTCCCAAAATGAATGTCTTGTTTCCTTTTTTGGCAAGAAATATGTGGTCCTTATAATTTTACTTTATCCTTTTCAAATTTCAACCACAACTTTTACTTTTCAACTATTTTATTAATTATCGTGTCAAATTGAAAGTGGACAACCAATATGGGAAGGAGGTAGTATATATATTTGATCATTATTGCTCTCAGTATGGTAAGCCTAATTATTATATTGCAAGCCTAGGTTATTTTTTTCATCTGTGTCATAGCTTCCTCCAATATTTTATGTCACCATTGTTGCATCAACTTCAATCAATGTGTTGGTGGCTCCTATGGTTGAAGTTGAATATTGTGTCATTACTTCCTTTATTTCGTTTAATCTCATTAGTAACAAATACATTAGTTACAAATACATTAGTAATCATTTTGTTCCGGCTCAAGGTTTTCTTGTGATTCATTATGTTTCTATTCAGCTTCAGCTTGCAGACATTTCTATCAAGAATTTATCTTCAAGACTTCAAGCATTTTTCTTTTCTCCTGGACAATCGGCACGTATTTCCTCCTGTAAAGCTTGAGAGTGTGATAATGTAATTAAACAGTTAAAGTTATCAGTTTGATAAGCTTAATTATTACTTTCACATATGCTATGAATTTGAAGTTGAGGTTCGATTGTGCATGAAATTACATTGTTGAAGTTGAGGTTCGATTGTGCACCTAATTAAACTGTTATATTTACTTGTATGAAACCAGACCTGCTACAAATCGTATTTTAACCCATATAACCGCAGTGTATATATGGCGGTATTTCGAATATATAAATGCCCTCAATAATTTAATGGTAGTTCAGTTCCTTAATTATAAATGTTTCACTAAATGTTTCAAATTCGAATGCTATCTGAACTTCTAGTTTTGTAACGATTTGTTTTGTACTTAGAATAATAGAAATTGTATCAATCCTAACCTATGGCATGACTAATGCATTAGTTGTCATGAAAGCGGATTAAAATAAAAAGTAACTATAACAAATGAACAAAAATATACTTATATACTCCGTATTTGTTCATGCTTTTGTGAGGTTTTAACTGAAAAGCGTGAATATAAAAATTCCAACCATATATGATTAAAATTAATTGATGATGATATCGTATTAATTGACTTTTTTAAATTACTAATAGATAGTGTTGGGTTATTGGATCAAGGCCGAATAATAGCCCAAATACCCCATATGGCTCAATCCGCACAAGTCCATTTGTAATCTGGCCAAGTAAGGAATGACATGCGGGGGCAGCTATCTCGACCCATTCCTTTCACTCCGGCTTCTCTGCTTAAGACATCAGTCATCCCACACAAAACTCCTCCAAACAGTTGGCGGGAAATCTAGAAATTGGCGGAAGCGCATTTAATGAATTAGATATGAAATATTTTATGGTTTGAGTTCATCCACTCATGGTTGGACACATCACCCCTCCACTTGGCACCTGCTACCTTGTAGTATAAATAACCTTTTATTTCATGGTAAGGGATTGACAACTTTGTATTCTTAGCATATATGTTAGGTACACGGAAATCTGGCGATGAATTGTGGAATACTAAAACTGAAATTGTTGAAAATGAACAGAACTTACAAGTGAGAGCAAATTCTAGAGTGCCTCGTCTCTCCCAAGTCCCAGTCCAATCCCAAGTTCTGCCTGCCTTCTTCCTCCCTCCTTTCCCCTTTTATATCAATTCTCTTCCTAAGGGCTGGCCCATATTTCATGAATTACTTGGCCCAAAACATTTATTTATACAATAACACTCTATTTAATAATACTCTATTATTCTTATTAAAATTAGCTGTCCATGTCCCTATCATATCTCCGCCCTTGAACAACCACCTTGTCCTCAAGGTGGGTGATAGGAGACAACCTTGACCTTCAACTTCATCTTCATTATGGCTCCTCTTCCTTCCCAATACATCCCACATTTCTGGACCTTTAACTTCAGTACTTGAAGCTGCATGCTCCTGTTCTTCACTTCAAAAAAGAGCAGAAATAAATTCCTGTTGGCATACTGCCCCCTTATGTTGCAAAAGTTTGAATCTCCCAACAACGGCGTCTCTTCCCTATAGATTTCAACCCGCATTATGTGTGTCCAGGGGTTCTTAGGAATATCAGAATCTGAACCCCGGGTTCCAAAAATTTCAGCTCGGCCACTACATTTCAACACATGAAGAAATAATTCAAGTATGAGTTCACCCAAAACACTGCTTTTCGCCAAAGGTAAGGAAGGACGAAGACCATGCTGCCTCATTCCCACCTTGAAAAGTTTGAGGGGCATGATTAGCTGAGAGGAGTTGAGCAATTGAAAGGAAATTTGATCCCAGATTTGATAAGAAAAAATAGAAAAGTCCAATATGGTAGCTCATGGGTTGCACATCTCCAACTACATACTCACTAGGTGGATGTTCAGAGCTCCACAGCTTTAGAAGTGCAGTCAACGCCTTTGAAAATACCGAAAGAACTGTGCCCTTCTCTGGATGCATTGGCTGAGACTTGATCATACTGTCTGTGCTGATATCCATTGAAATAATGTGACCATCTCTGGTCACGAACATAGTAGGTACTTCCCCAGTTTCATATGAGGTTCCACCCTCCGGGTTCACAGTGCTTTCATGAAAACCCGACTTTGCCTGTCGGCTTTTAAACTTCACAATCAGTTTGGATCCTGATGCCATGTACTGCCAGATGCATACTGGGGAATTGACAAGTGAAAAGAGAGCTGTGAATTGATACCCAGAACCACTTGGGAAAAAGACTTCATTGTTGGGTTTATTGATCAAGTGCAGCCTTGTTTTCTCGGGGCCAGAGCTGGTGTCACACCTGTAATAGTGAAATTGGCCAGATTCTTTCCCATTAGGTACACTCAAAAAATTAGTGGCAGAGTCAAGAGCTGTCATTGCTGCACTCCTAATAATGCTCTCCAGGCCCTTCACCTCAGATGAGAGAGTCATCATAAGTGCCAACACTGGGCACATGACATCCCAGGTTCGGACATATCCATTCTGATATCCTGCTAGGTATTTTCTCTCAATTAGAGGCCACCTCGATTCCCATCCAATCTTCGCCTTTGAGAAACTGCCAGGGTAGTTACATTTCCAATTCAGAAAACTTGACTTTGCCACAGTCATGTATGAGTTGTGAGCAGTTATTTCTACTGGATAAGGAGTGATGTCAGCCTCATGATGGGTCTCTTGCTCCCATTTCAAAGTAGACAAGCAAATGTTCTCATAAAATTGCAACTCTCTGGGGTTTGTCAGTATGAAAAAGGAATTGAGTTTACTGCTCTTCATATCACAAACAATTGGTATAGTAATAATATCTCCAAATGATCCAGGAAGTTTAAGGTCTACTGGCTCTACTTTATCAATGCCTTTCGATTTTGTAAGCCCATATGACCAATCAAGTTTAGGTATCCTTAAAACTTCTTCAAATCCAATGTCACTCCCACCATAGACATTAGCCGAACAACACAACAGAATAACAGGAAACCTTTTACCTCCGGATGATGGTTGTAAGTTAACAACGCTATCACACTGATTTTCCGCTTTGTGGCCTTCCGAATAGTCTGGCAGAGACCAGTTCAAACAACCTCCAATCAGCCTCATATTTTGCACATCCGCACCCTCTGTGTTTGGCTGTAGCCTATTCTCAACACTGTGGTAAAGATTTTGACCAGGCCCTTGTGAAGCTTTAAGATTACTAACATTTTGAGAAGTGACTGGCAGAACTCTACCACAAACCGAGTTGAAGAATTCCATATAACCTTCAGAAGCATCAGAAGTTGGGCATCCAAGAGAAACAGGAACTGCAGTTGCACCAATTTCAGGTCCAGCGACCACTGACAATTTCTCCTCATTTTCATTATAGCCTTTAGTGAACTTCTCTGCATTTTCTCCAAATTGAGGAGCACTTCTATCATCAGAGAAAGGTTGCTGCAGGTTAACAGACTCATATTTTGTCATCAGCAATTTTAAGTCAGAAACCACTTGGTTCTCCAATTCAGAACCAGCAATTTTGTCAGACTCATATGCCCGGGCAGTAGAGGATTGAGTTCCCACAGAAGTTTTCTCGTCACCTCCCTCATTACCATCGATGAACGCACCTTTGGAGGGAAGTTGTTGCTGATTCACACACGGCTGAGGGATCGACGCTGACTCAACTTGCGCACTGTGAGAAGCGGACATATGAGATGAAACCTGCGAACGAGGAAGATCTGTTCGCGATGATGACTGGTGACTAGCCGCTAGAGATAGCGAACTGGAGAACTCTGTTCGAGGTGAAGATGGCGAACTGGTAGCAGTTGTCTTCCGCGAAGAACGAGTTCGCGATTGAGAAGACTGAGAAGAAACAGATGACCTGGAGTCGCAACTACCATTCCGCGCACTTGTTTTGGAGATTTTTGATTGACCGCGAGAGTGGCGATCAAGCTTCTTCATAATCAACTCGCGTATCTCATTGCACTTGCGTTTGGCCTCCTCACTTTCGCGCTCCATGTCTGCGGACCACCTCGCCAACTCGCGCTCCATGTTTTCAGACCGCCTCACCAACTCGCGCTCCAATTTCTCCAATCTTCCTTCCATCGTTCTGCGTATATCGACGTTGATAGGCTACAGGAACGAATGCTCTGATACCAATGTTAGGTACACGGAAATCTGGCGATGAATTGTGGAATACTAAAACTGAAATTGTTGAAATTGAACAGAACTTACAAGTGAGAGCAAATTCTAGAGTGCCTCGTCTCTCCCAAGTCCCAGTCCAATCCCAAGTTCTGCCTGCCTTCTTCCTCCCTCCTTTCCCCTTTTATATCAATTCTCTTCCTAAGGGCTGGCCCATATTTCATGAATTACTTGGCCCAAAACATTTATTTATACAATAACACTCTATTTAATAATACTCTATTATTCTTATTAAAATTAGCTGTCCATGTCCCTATCAATATATAGACATCTCTCTAGCTTCAATAAAATTGGATTCCCTTTACCTCTAACCAGGAACGGTGCTATGCATACTAGTATACTACGTTTAGGGGAGCCTTGCCATCTCCCAACGTTTTAATTTTTTCAATTATTGTCTTAGTAGAATAGTATTGCAAAAAAAATATGCTTTGTAATTCTCTTATCATTTTTCAATACCACATTAGACTGAATATCATATCTATAAATGCACTATGTTTCTAGGAGTAGTTATTTGGAAATATTAAATCTATAACAATGTTATATTTTGAAGGAGTAGTCATTCCATCATAATAAATACTCCTTACGTAGCAATATACTATCTATTATGGAGTAGTACTGGAAATCTTTGACTTAAAGTGTCCAATATAAAAGAAGTATGAAAAAATTGGGATGATAATAAATTTAGAAAGAAGTGGTATATTACCCTTTGCCCCCCACCACCACCACCACACGTCCACACTCCATCCTGGCTCCATCCCCGCCTCTAACGAAGTAACTCCTACCAAAGCCAAAAGACTGTGTAGCAGTGTAGGGCTTTTGGACCTCCAGGAATAAACCTCAATGGATAGAATAATAGTCAATAAGACGGCATCAGTTTTGTATAACCAGTAACCACATTTTCTATATATGAGGATACAAAAACACAATACAACCAGAGTGATCCTGCTTTTTAATTTTTCAAGTCCTGCACTAATTAGATTTCTTTGTTTTTCACTATAGCTGACATATTATTTCATTGTTTGCTTGCTGGAATGTTAAAAGAATTCCGAAGTACCAACATGCCATATACATGAAATGTGAAGTCAGGAAGCTCTTTTCACCAAGCTTTTCCTTCACCTACACAAGCAACTATAGATCTGCTGATCATGATCCTTTACTATGGTAGTCAAGTAGTGTAGATTGGACTTGGTATCCAAGAATAAGAAGTCTTATTATCATGCATTCATGCGCTAATTGACCTCTGCTATGACTGTGAGTATCATGGTCATGTTACACATGCTCAAGAGTCGAGAGTATGGAAATTATAAGATGATTAAAGATTTGAAGAGCAGACTGTATTGTTGGATTTGAGGGCGTACCCGACTACATTGATCAGCCTTTCCCACTATGCATGTGTTTCAGTTTTGATAGAAACCGAATTGTCAGTTCCGAGTCTAGGATACAATTCAAGCAACAATACCAGAACGTCACGGGCTTGCACGGTTTTGGTTTAAGACTAGTTATGAATCTTTGCCCTATTTTGAAAGTACTTGAAGTTGTAACCTTTTTGAAAGAAACTGTCTGGACTCTGGACTAGTATGTGATACAGGTTAGCATACTGGTACACAAACAATTTATTCATTTTCTGGACAAATTATGTGTACATGGAGGAGTGAACACGGCAAGTGCACACCAAGCAGGACTCATGTATCTCACAAGAGCCATCCCGTTATCCCGAATGGATATGGATATGTGCTTTTAGGTTCTTATTATTATTCAGAACCAGCCTATCTCTGATAGGCATACGTTAACTCTGACTTTGGACAGCATTTTACAACGATGACACCAAATAGAGGTACATTCATGTAGGCATTATAAATATTCTCAACAATAAATAACCATAATTAAGTGGATAATACAATATTAGAAGTGGAAGAAGGAGCTTAAGAAAAGAACCCAAAGGTGTCAAAAATAGTGGTGTGGAGCGGGTCACTCAAGTGGGTAGCCCAGTTGTTGAGTGGGCCTTTACCTGTGGCAGCAGCTTGAACAGCAAAGCCCAAGAAGGCCACCATTGCAAGCCTGGCATGCTTGATCTCTGCAAGCTGGAGCTTGGACTTCTTCTCCGGGTCAGCAGCCAGGCCCAACGGGTCAAAGAATTTTCCACCCGGGTACAGCCTCGCCTCCGGGTCAAGCTCTGCATTTCTCTGAAACTCAACGAACCCGATGGCGATAACCTCGATCCAAATCAATGCGGTCATCGAGAATGGAAGTGGTTGCCCAAGATATGAAGATCCCTCGATAAGCTCAACCTATAGTATCGAATTTGAACAGATCTTAGCTATTCGGGCTGAAATTCAAATATCCGATCGGAATTGGGATTTCACGTACCTTTCCGGCGTCTTGCCATGTAACTCCGGTGAGCCACTCCACAGTCAACGCGCCGAGAGTACCCAGCATGGCCCACCTTCCGTGGATCAGCTCACACTCCCTGAACCTCTGCAACCCGAAGACTTCGCTGTAAGGCTGCAACGGAGTCGATTTCGGGTCCGTGAACTCCGTCCTTGTTCCGATGACTTCTCCGGCGAGGTTCTTAGCCAAGTTCTGGTCCAACGAGTCCAGCTCGAATTGCAAGTACTCAGCGGGCTTCCCGAGCCCGAACGGGTCGAACCCATAGTCACCGACAAGGGTGCCGTCGAGATATTCCGGCGCCTTTGCTCCGGGGTACCATAAGGGCCTATTCGAGCCCGGCTTTGGTGCTGCCTTCTTGGGAGGAGATTTCTTGCGACCAAGTCCGAATCCGAATCGGGCCTGAACTCGAGCTGCTCCGGAGTAGATATCTGGGAGGCGGGTTCCGAGAATTGAAGACGTAGCGGCGGCGGTGGCCATGGCAAACGGTTCTGTGATTGAAAAATTTTAGCTCTTGGAATGGTTTACTATGATTTTGTCAGCTTATCTTTTAGAGGTTGTGGTCCATGTAGAAGAACGAAAGCCGTTGGATTCAAAAAGTGAATCCATCTGACGACTGTGAGTGGTTAAGCCTTATCTACTTCTTATCTTATGGTGAGTACAGGATTAATGGATTATCTTGTGGTTTAGGGTTGGGCAAATCAGTTTACGGTTCGGTTTTATCGGGTTCGGTTCAGTTTCAAATTGTTCGGTTTGGCGAAAAATGTATTTCGGTTTGGTTTCAGTTCGGTTCGAGAAATTTTCGATTCGGTTCGGTTTGATGTTCAGTTTATGAAGTTAAAAAAAATAATGTATAATTTCATATTTTTAAGTCAACATTTACTAATTTGAAATGGTTTATTTTAGGTTAAATCCAAACCAAATAAACTAAAACAAAGCAATAAAATCAAAATAGAGTTTTTTGGTGTTGGGTGTAAAATAGCAATGGTTTACAAGCAATCTGCCAACATAAATAAAATATAAGTACTGATTTACATGTGGTGCAATGAGCAAAAAATAGCAATGATTTAAATGGTTAATAAAAGTGGATGAGGGATTAGCAGTTTGGGCAGTTATGTTTCACTCCAAATCATCAAGTCACTAAACCTACAACCTCCTTAATGTCAACCTCCTTAATGTATACAATAATGGACAAACACATTGTCGTATTTCACTGGTACAACCAAACTTACAATCTCCATACTGCACACACATGTGTGTGTATGTATGTGTGTGTATTGTTCGGTGTTCGATTCAGTTTACGGTTTTTCCGTTTTTAACCAAACCAAACCAAAGTGCCAAATCATTCGGTTTGAGAAAATGTTTACCAAACAGTTTATTCAAGTAAACTCCAACCAAACCAAACCAAACCACCAATTTTAATAATATATGAAAGTTTTTTTGAGTTTCTTTAGTTCGGTTCGGTTTTGAGTTTTATCGGTTTCGGTTCGGTTCGGTTCGGTTTAATACGGTTTGAAAGAAATAGTACCAAACTCAAACCAAATTACATACGGTTCGGTTTCGGTCCGATTTAGTTCGGTTTGGTACGGTTCGGTTCAGTTAAACCAAACCGTTATGCCCACCCCTATTGTGGTTGAACACACTTGGATTTGAGTATTCAACATCTTTTCGGATGCTCAAAATTAAGTTTATGACAAAGAATATTTTATGGCAAAGAATATTAACTGACAAAGAAAGTATTCCACGTCTTTTCGTATTTCGAGAATTTTCCCTTATCAAATTCTTCCGTTTCAGTAATTTTATGATAAAGAATATTTTCAATTTCAAAGGCTATATATGTTAACTGAAGGTAAAAAAACTACCGTATATAATTACTAATTAATATGCACTTCCAAAAAACACGAGATTGCCAGGGATTTTGGCAGGGATTATGCAAATCCGTGCCAAAAACACTTTGGATCGAGCTATTTGGCACGAAAAGTCAGTAATCTGTGCCAAATTCCGTGTCAATCCTGTGTTTTTTAGTAATGGTGACGTCACATCTATACGAATTGCATTATTTAAACGAATTGCTTTTGTAACTTGGCAAAGCAGTTGGTGTGCACATATGTGAAAGTGTGTTATGTCATTCCTAAACTATACTTAAATAAAAATTTATGGGAAAATGTTCAAATAGTTACTTATACATATAATTTGTTAAGTATTTATGCATATAATTTTTTGAAATAATTACATAAATATGATTAAAATAAAAGTTATTTATGACACACAATAGTCGAGTAAAGGTTGTTTATGAAAACGTGATCAAGAGTATAGTTACTAAGGCCAAAACACTTTTTTACATCTTTCAATTTTTTCCAAAAATAGATCTAAATTAACACAATCAAAATTAAACTCCTAAATTATTTATTTTTCATTAGAATGTTTGACTTTTACAATCATAATTGTTCACACACAAAATTTGGCAAAAATGATGTGTAATTATTTTAAAAAAAAAGGCCTTAACTAAGAAAATTTAGTTGGGTGAATTTGTATTAGTTGGTGGAAATTTTTATTTATCGACAGAACTCGGTTGCAGTTAACCTTAGGATGTTTTCTTTTGGACTGAAATTTGTTGGTCTGGTTTGGTGTGGTAAATGTTTGATCTCTGTGTATTTTATAACTATGGAAGTTTGGCCTGGTCTGGAACTGAAAACAGTTCAAAAGAAAACATCCTTAGTCACTGAAGATTAGGAATTCACATGCAGAGAATTCTAGAAATTCTTCCACATTTATCCTTAGGAACTGATAATTTAGCCCAATTATCATTATTGGGTGGATATCCCAAAAAAAAATATCCAATTTTATTTTTGAAAAGTTTGGTGTGACTAACATTCATTTAGCTATCTCTTATCGATGACTACCATACATTTTTACTTTATTCTCACTTTTAAACTCCAATTCAATTCAAATCGGGAAGAACTCTATGGAACAAAAGAAGTAAGCGGTCCTTGGTTCCAAAAAGAGGGGTAATCCCCGCTTCTGATTCACGGAATAAGTAGAAGGGAACTCGACAATGCATTACTTGGCGGAGGAGTGCTTGGCCCAAGTCAGGGTTTATTACAGCCTAGCAGATCTACCTATTTTGTCCAAACGGGCTTTCTTGATGGATTCATTTGGTCTTCCTTCTTTTAGGTTTTTTTGATGTATTTTAATTGGGTAAGGTCTACTCCCCCCAATTCTCTTTAATTTATTTTTTTAGTACGGTTTTGCTCTGTATCTTGGAAGGGTATGCCCTTTCTGAAGAGATTTTGGTATAGTCCCCCTCTTCTGCTGTATTTTTCAAAATCTTTTTTAATAAAACTTGGCAAACATTCCCCGAAAAAAAAAAGAACAAAAGAAGTAATTTTATACCTCACCGTCCTCAATACCCACTAATTTTCAATATGTGCTACATACACTATTTTTAAAAAAGCTGAAAAAATGTTTGTTAGTACCTACTTCTACTAAAAAAAGCATTTCCAAGTTCAAACCTAAAAGCAAGTAGAGATGTGCTATAGACTGGTATTAACGTTTTGAATTTCACAAAACACAATTATTCATCAAACACTGCTTACTTCTACTTTTTCAAAAGCATTGTTTTCTCAACCACCACCAACATTTGCTATTAAGTAATTTCTCCAAAATCAATTTAACAAATCACCTTTTTAAAGTAAAAGCAATCGCAAATAGTCCCTAATTATCTCACCTTCGACTTATAAATGTCAACTACTTCAACCAATACATGTTTAAGTATTACCGCGTCTGGAACTGGAGTGGCAAGCTAACGTCGAAATGTGTTAAAGAAAACCTGAGAATTAACACCTTCTGTTCTGACACAAACTCCTGTGAAAATTCTTTGTTCTATTAAAATGTTTTGCTAGTAATTCACTCGTACTACGCACAAAAGATTTTGACAAAGAATTTTTTCATACCCAAAAGTCTATTTATATTTGTTGAAGGTAGATTATTTATAATGACTAAGTAATATGATGACTATAATTTATACGAATTGCCTTTTCTAAATGGGAAAACAGGGGTGCAAAGATGTGAAAGTACTTTATTCATTATTAAACTATACATATGTATAAATTTGTTGGATCAAGCGTGATAATCATTCACAGATTTATGATGGGATGTTAAAGTATATGTCTCGGGAAGTTATAAAATAATAAAATATTATATAAGACTTTGAGTTCCTCCTATCAGTTTGACCTTTAAAGATCGAACCCGTGTCTTAACGTGGTAACTATAAAAGTGCATTATAATATAAAATATGGTATATCATGCACACAAAATTAATATAATTCTCACCAATTTGTGGAGTATATATTATATCGGTACTCTCAACTGATCTCAAGCTCATATCTTCGATCAAAAATAAACTCTCAAACCCATATCCTAATTCCTAACTACTACGCAATCAATACGCATAATACTAAACCAATAATTTTTATTTAATTCAAAATAACTAATACATTGGCGAATATTTTGGGCACCAACTACACACCATGAAATTAAGGACCGATATATATTTTTTAACCCGGTAATTAAATCACCAAAATCAGGTACGGCAAACTCCGGCGAATGTTTGCCGGAAATATGAGAGGGGACAGAAAAACAATATTGGTAGCAGAAAACCGACCAAAATTAGTAAATAGGGAGTATAAGGTATTGACTCTTCATCTAGCTTAAGAGCTCCCCTCATCTTGTTTGGAGTAAAATATCCCCTCCTCTTACAGAAGTCCCGATAATGGCCCAAATCCGCCACTATTTCTGCCTCTTTGTTTGCTTGAGCTGGAATAAAATGAAGGCCCACCCACTTGCGGCCGAAAGAAGGCCTGCCCAACTCAAGAAGCTTCAAAGAGGAAAACTCAGCAAGATAATTAGGAAACCCCTTCGATTCAGATTATTCCACCGCCTACGTAAACACCTCCTTCTCTGACAATGACTACTTCCAACCTTCGAAATTTTCAACTACTTCGATGACAATGACTATTGCCTTCATTATCATCCGTCGGAGTTGTTCTTCGATGTCAGCCCTCCACCATGCCAATTGTTCTTTGTTGCTATCTCCTTCTTACCTTCATCCCAACCAGTCCAGTCTCCATCGTCTATTTGAGTTAGATTGAAGAAATTAAACTTTTCAGATCATAAATTGAAAGAATGAAGTGCAAATTTGAGGTGCAAATTTCAGAACAAAACTAAATGGAAGATGGGGGAAGGAAATTTACTTATGTGGTAAAGGGGGAGAAAACAGAAGAGAAAGAAAATTAAAAAACAGAAAATTAAAAATAGAAGTAGAAAGTGGTTGTTCAGTTTTTTTTTGTTGAAGACGAAGGAAGGAGGAAATGAGGAATGCTTCACTGAAGACGAAGAAACTGGTTGTTCAGCTTTCGTTTTTGTTTTTCTTTTAATTTGTTTACTGATTGAACAAGTTAAAGGTAAAATGGATCAATTTGAGAAGGCTACTCACAAAATTGAGATTATTTTAGAATTACTTATACTTGGGATTAATAATAGAAGACCTCTAATAGGTGGGATTATTCTTGTGAATTTTTCCAGCAGAATGAGCTATGAATTGCCGCCGAGTACCACGAGTTGCGTTTGGCTCAAGTGTGATGCTGGACGGCCTAAAGACTCTTCGTCCGACGGTGACTCCGACCCACCGTCTGAGATATCTCCCACCACCTTTCGCCGCCGACTAGAGTGTTCGGCCGGTTTGAAGT